GTGGCATTTGCACCCTTAGAGGTTTGTTTCTGAAATCCTTGGAAGTTTTCTTACATGGAATCTGTTAGGTTTAATGAAGTTTTTAATCAACTGCATTAAACACCACCTCCCAATTAACAATGGGCATACAGTCAGTGTGAGAAGGAACATCCTGTGATTTGGTAACAACAGGTGGACCTGCAGGAGGGATTTCCATCTATCTCTGATTTCTGACAGTTTGAAATAGAAGTAATGCATCCAGAAGTATAGATTTCCTTCTAATAAATGTAAAGTAAGATAAATCCATCCTGAATCTTTAATGTGGCAGACATTAAAGAATGGGAAAGTCTAGGTAGGCTTGTCGCAGTCATGTAGAGTGAAAGGTCAGCTAACAGTAAGTAGACTATACTGGGTTTCCTTTCATTTATTTTTCCTTTTCTCAATTTATGCCACAAATTTACCACTTTGTGACACAATGTTGGTTATTAATTTTCCTTTTTTCCCCCCTTGTCTGTTAAATTCAATAGAAAAATCCAATTATTATGTAAATAGAGCCTTGCTGTAATTGTCACAAACAAGTTAGCATAACAATGAAGAGCAACAACTTTCTGAAGTCAAAGCAAGCACTGATTTATGACTATCTCTGAGGTGTGATTGATACAGACTGTTTTGGAGGAGTATTTTCAACATCTCCTTCGTTTTACAGCCCACTTCCTCAGATCAGCCCAGCTGAGGCATGTTTGCAAAGAGAAGTTGCATTGGAAGAGGGAACTTTCCACAAATTCATTTTCTTTTCTTTAAAGAAGGAGAAATGGAAAAAAAAGCCCCACAAAAGCCATTATTCAGACAGTCTTCTTTTTAAAATGTTTCCAGCAGATGTTTATGTAGAGAATGTGCTGGAGCTCCTTCAGCAAGACACAGAAGTGACATTTCTTGAGGGTTTTAGTTGAGGAATTTGTCTTTCACATCATGTCTTTAAACATCTGCAAAAGGCAACAGAATCTTTATTATCCTGCTAACTTGAAGAAAGGCATAGTCCTGACTCCTTAAAAAATGGTATTTAATGGGACTGACAGATGAGAAATATCTAGCTCTAATGTTTTCCTTCAGTAGAAATTCACCTCTTGACCTTATGACTCCAGAGTACGCCTTCTGAAAAAGACCATTTCCTTCCATTCAGATGTGCTTTCTATGGTTTTTTTGTTTTGTTTTTCCTTACTGCTCAGTTATCTGCTTTAGGGGAAGGTATCGTCCTCAGGATTCAAACAAATATAAGCTTATAAATACCGCAAACACACTTGTGCTCAGTCTGTTTATGGCCTTTGTGCTTTCAACCCTCTTTTAATTTCTTCAGTTGGGTATTTTTCTTCTTCCTCACTAAAAATCAACGCTACCTTCTTTCCTTGCCTTTTCTTTTAAATGGATTTTGAAGGGGTGGTATAAGTCAGCTTTCCTATTCCTATCCTTGAGTTTGGTTATTTGCTGCGGTGCAGAAAAGATGGACTGGGGCCATTAGTCAGGGCTGCCCAGGTTGGCCCTCCTGCCTTACAAAGTAACCTTTTGAAGAAGAATTCAATCTATCTTTGGGTTTTCTGGTTTGTTTCAGGTTCTTAGAGGGGTGATGCAGGTTTGGCTGTGGGTTTTTTCACTCTCCACTGTATTATATTTCGGTTGTTGAACCTTTTTCTCCCCCCTCCTTCTTCTTTTTCTCTTTACTTTTTTTCCTCCCTCAAGGGTTTTCTCTGGGAAAAGTTTTCTGGGCTTCCATCCAGCCAGTGTCACAATTCACAGCTGTACTGTTTGATTCAAGTACTTCAAGCTGCCAGTGAGGTAGAGCCAAATGAGATTAAGGGCTTTTTTATTAAAGCAAGCACCCGCATGTGCTGGTATGGTTAAGGCTACGTCAGGCGTTCCAATACGAACCCCAATTTCTGGAGACCTTTAGTTCTCAAACATAAAATATCTTTGCCAGGCTGAAACCTGACCTAGATGCACTCATCTGGGAGGAGCTGTAACTCTTTGGAAAGAAAGAGTTTGGCTTTTATTAAGTTACAGCTTCAAGAAAGGAAAATGTACTGATTTCAAGATAAGCAGCTAAGAAAAAAAGAGAGATGAATGTTAAAGTGTATGTAAAAAACAGCAACAGGCATAAACTAAATGAGATATTTTAAATGGATTCATGGTGAATTTTAAGGAAAGCAATGCTTTTTGTAGCAAGAGATTCATCAATTATCTTCCTTCCCTTGCACACGATGGATTTGAGCCCTTAGTGCTGGTCAAACTCTGATACTCCCAGCACAGCCAAAATACTGCTGTTCCTTTTGATTTCTGACATGAGCCAAAAGCCAAACCCACATTTCCAGAGAGAAATGCATTTTTAAGCTCCCTTTCCTTTCACAAAACACCCAAATGAGACCACTTTCTTTTTATACTGATTCTTATCTTTTTTGTCAACATTTGTGCAGATAAATGAATCGATATTTTAAGCACAAACATACATGTGTCTATGGAAAACAAGAATGTGCTGTAGTAGAGCTGATCAAGAATGTTAAAGAAAAGAAACAAATGGAAGAAAATTAGAAGCTTTACAGAAAAAAAAGACCCAAATCATCACTGTAAACTTTTTTTCCGTAAACTTGGGCCAACTAAAAAGTGAATCATAAGGTTTTGAAAGTTATTGATATCTCAATTGTTGGAATTCTCAGACAGAAGTAGCCTTTTTCAGTATTAGGTCACCCTTTCTTTTTCCTTTTTGTCCAGCTGTGTTACTGAGCATCACAGGTGCCTTGATGAAGCCCCTGTGCGCACACTGACAGAGGCAAGCCTTCATCCTTTCAAGACAAGAGCTACTTTCATATAAACATATGTCTGGGATGGCACTGCGGTTGACAGTGTGAGCTTTAATTCTCTGTCCAGGAGCCGAGAGGCAGCTATAGCTCTGTGTCCTCATTTGAGGGGCCATTTCAGGAGAGGGATATTCAGGTATAAGGAATAACTTCAGCTGAAGAAACTAAAAGCAAAATCAATTCTTGAGAGTAATTTCTTATGAATTGGGTGTTTTTTTATTTAAAATCTCCCCTTTTGATATAAATCACTAGGAAAAAAAAAACAAACCAAAACTCCAAACGGAAAATTTGGAGTGTTTTTTTTTTTTTATTTACTGTTGAATTCTTCAATTTAATTTAGAGGCTTTGTAGTTTCTTGAGATGCTTCATTTCAGTTGGTCGTGTCACCCTGAAGTTGCTAATCCAGCCTTAGCTTACCTGTCACAATGCAACAGCAGTAATCAAATGCCGGCCCTCCCTTGGACCATATGTTTTAACTGATGTTGTATCATAGCTGACACAGTAAATACTGGATGCCAGTCTGTATGTCACTGTCCTACCATTTTCAAGAGGGGAATTTAGGAAGGAAGGGGAAGTTAGAGCTAAACCTGTAATAAGGCTGACAGGTTTGCATAATTGCAGTGTAATGCCCTTGTTTTGCATATCCTCATGGTCAGGCATTTTTTAGCCATTTTCTGGATTCCTCCCTCATACACTAATGATTACCAAGACAGAAATACCCACATCCTCATCGCTGCTGCTCATGTAATCCTGGCAGTGATTTGAGATTTATATGCTGAGAGACTCCTTAAGCCTACAAGACTCTGTAATCAAAGGCAGCAACATTAATATTCTGTGCAAATGTGAAGAAGCCATAAAAGCTTTGTTTGTTGCTAAAGAAACCAACTAAATCAAACAAGTTGAAGAAAACAAAGACTTGTATAATTGTTTTAATTAAAACTGCCATTTATTTCAGCAAAACTGCAGCACAGTCGTGCTCTCCAAACATTTCTTGCATAGACTTGCATACTCAAAAAGTATTCTTAATAAGTGAAATAAAACATTGCCAACCATTTTCCAGTGCCCTTTGACACAAAAGCTCCTAAACAAATTGCAAGAAACCCATGCAAAACTTTGGGATGTTTACTTCAGATTTTATCCAAGAGGAATTTATGGAACTTGCCATTCAACTCCAAAGGCATGTTATCTCCAGTGAAATGTAACGCTGCTTAAATCTTCAAAGAACATCATGGCATTTAGCCATAAAACTCACTGTGACTTTAGACATTTAAAAACAGCATTAATGCCAGGATCAGACTGCCCTGTATGGTTGTTTTAAGTCTTCAGGGCCACAGGCATGCTCTCTTGGGTCTGGGCCCTCCATGTGTTCAGTTTCCAGTACAAGTTAAAGCACCAACTGCTTTGCCTTTCTCTAGCTGCTAAACCCCTTCACCTCTTCCCACCCCACAAGGTTATTCTGGCATCTCCAAACAAGTCGGATACAGAAGGGATTTTGATAGTAGTTCCTCAGCTTCTGCAACCAGTGCTAGCCTCTGCTTCTTAATTCAAAGTATGAATGATACAAATACATCTCAGTTTTAATTGAAGGAGAATGTCTGACCTTTCTATAAAATAGAGTCACACAAGGTTCCTGTATTTCTTGTGACCTTTCCAACACTTGTAAGGCTTTTAAGCACACACGTTCAGCTTAAATTTGAAATCTTTTGTCTTCCTCAAGAATAAATTGGCTTCCAGTGCAAAATTTGAGCCCACATTTCACTGTTAGTATTTGAATCCAGCATGTTGTTACCGTGTGGTAACCTGAACCACGCTTTCTTTCTCCTCTCAGATAATCTCTTCAGATACTATAGTTTGTCCTGAGCCTGTCTTTTATCTTCTTTCTCAGCAGTCTGAGAGCTCTTCACCAATACTTGTATTTGTGAAAGTGTATGCTAAGAACCATTTTTTGCATATATTAATTTTCTGTGTCATTTCAAAGACCTCCCTTTTTTCCAAGCATTAGCATTTTTAAGCTTGGAAATATCCTATGGGAAGCCATAATCTATCAATGAAAGCCTTGAAATTTTCTTCTAAACATATGTTTGGTTGAGTTCTTTGGTGGAGTTCTTTGGAGGCTGTAAAGGAGCTTATAGTAACAACTCCCTTTTATTCTTCTCTTTCATTTTTCTTTTCCAGTGACTGGATAACTGAAACAATTTGAAGTCTGTTTTTACTAGAACCTGATCACCACCTGACTGAGTGAAGAAACTGAGGACTGTTTGAAAGTAAGGCCTTTGGCAACACATACACCTAGCTCAGACTGTCTCACAGATTCATCTTATCATATAAAAGGCTTTTCCCAGCGTTGCCTGAGAACAGTGAAAACCTCATTATGAGCTGAAAACTGTTTGGGATTTCAATGTTGATAATGAAAATCTTATTTATGGAATTGCTGAATACACAGATAAACTCTAAAAAGCAACAGCCTACTAGACAAAATAACAGTCCTAGGGAAAAGGAGTAATGTAATTACATCATTCCTATTTTATAGTGGCCTTTTCCTTCCATGTACATATTGAAAGAGAGTCAAAGAATTGTGAGATACAATTGTTTCTGGCATCTTCCAGCCTGATTTCAGAACTCACATGAGTTTCCTGTGTCCAGTTAATAAGCTGAATGCAAAAGGCATTCAGAGCAATCCCAGGCACAGCTACAGTTGGGCAGAGAAGAGATTCAGAGCAGCCCTGTGGAGAAGGACTTGGGGGTGTTGGTTGATGAGAAAATGAACATGAGCTGGCAGTGTGCGCCTGCAGCCCAGAAAGCCAACTGTATCTTGGGCTGCATCAAAAGGAACGTGACCAGCAGGTCGAAGGAGGTGATCCTGCCCCTCTACTCTGCTCTTGCGAGACCTCACCTGGAGTATTGTGTGCAGTTCTGGTGTCCTCAACATAAAAAGGACATGGAACTGTTGGAACAAGTCCAGAGGAAGGCCATGAGGATGATCAGGGGACTGGAGCACCTCCTGTATGAAGACAGGCTGAGGAAGTTGGGGCTGTTCAGCCTGGAGAAGAGAAGGCTGTGTGGAGACCTCATAGCAGCCTCCCAGTATCTGAAGGGGTCCTATGGGGATGCTGGAGAGGGACTCTTCATTAGGGACTGTAGTGACAGGACAAGGGGTAACGGGTTAAAACGTAAAGAGGGGAAGTTTAGATTGGATATAAGGAGGGAATTCTTTCCTGTTAGGGTGGTGAGGCACTGGAATGGGTTGCCCAGGGAGGCTGTGAATGCTCCATCCCTGGCAGTGTTCAAGACCAGGTTGGACGAGGCCTTGGGTGATATGATTTAGCATAAGGTGTCCCTGCCCATGCAGGGGGGTTGGAACTAAATGATCTTAAGGTCCTTTCCAACCCTAATTATTCTATGATTCTCTATTAGACAGTGCTAAAGATGTGAAAGCATTTTTCGGCTCAACAGCCTTTAGGCTCATGTAACGAAAAGTGTGAACCCCCACTAGAGAAGGAAGGAAAAAGTAAGTAGGGATCAAGAAATTCCCATCCTTTTCTAAAAGACAGAATAGGTCTTCTTATGAGTTGTGTTGTCTCCATACTGCTAACAGAGCTGTGATGGTAGAGCCAGCCTTCTTGGACTGAAACCTTTAGATTCATTCAAAGCTGAGACAAGTTTAACAGGGAAATGTGTGTTGTAGGGGAAGAAAGGCTATACAGTTTCCTAACTCTCTATTTCATTAACATGCTTTTATTCCACTAAAATCAGTAATCATATTACAATAGAGCTAGTGAAATATAGTGGGAAATAAGGCCCTTTAATATAAACCTCTCTGTCTGTCTGTCCTTCTATATGGCACCTCCCAACATAGTGTCTGAGTGCAAAGTTCTTCACCCTCTTCTGATTTCAAACTTAAAATGGATGTGGTAAAGACCTATTGTCCATAGTAAACTGCTCAAGATGAATCAGCTGTTCAGATTAGCCTCACAGAAATGATAATGGGGTTCTGTGTTCACAGCTGAGTTATTTAAACTGTCTGATTTGGTCCACAGCTTCCTTGGACATTAATAGGTTGACTGCTATGTTGCTGAACTTAGTGCATGAAAGGTCAGCCTTTGAAAAGCTAAATAAGGTAAGTGCAAACTGAAGCATGTTCCAGGCGATTCCGCATGCTCTAAATACACTTGAAACCCCTAAGAATCACTGCTGCTCCTTAGCATTTTTCCATATCTGATTTCAAAGTGGTAGATCCTTGGATCAATACTTTGATTTTTACCTCTCATCCACCAGGAGATTCAGGGGGCTGCTCACATGTTATAAACATATGCCACTTCTGATGCATCTTGAGTAAAGCCGATTGAAAACTTTTGAGAAGATACAGCTTTTCATCAGTGAATGCAGGCGTGGGTGAATTTGAAAGATTTTCTCAGGACTACAGCAATTTGGCTGAAATTGCTGAGAAGCACCATTATCAGGCAGGGACACTTCAATAAAGATGGAACACCTCATTTGACTTCTGTTTGATTATACTGTACATTCTAACATACTGTTGTGCACACCTTGAAGCGATTAAATCAAAATGAAGAATTCGAAGTGTATCAAGATGAAATGTTTTCAGCTGTCCCAGAACAAAAACATTTCAATTAAGGTAGCTTTGATGATCTCTGTGTTGAAGCAATTTCATTTTTGTGCTACCTTTCAGCATTTAGATCGTTATTTGTGCTTAAAAGAAAAGCAAATTTTGGCATGCTGATATTTCCCCCAGAACCAGCAGCCCTCCTCTGCAGCAGCCCATGAGAGTGACTGGAAGAGTTAGAGTAAGAACGTCTCTCTTCCCCTTGCCCAAGCCCTCTCTTTGATGTGGGACCATGGCAGGGGGAGAGGAGGGAGAAGGATAAGAGTTAGGGTTATCATCTATAAATAGGCAGTACTTCACACTCACTTTCTTGAGTGGTCTTAGAGCTCTAGGGGAAAGAAGAACAAAATGAATCTAAGAGAACTTTAGGGAAAGTTTTGTACATTTCAGGAACGTTCCAAAGTAAAAATTGGCTCTGGCAGTCCAAATTTAGAGGCTTATTCTTTCAAAAGTTTAATTTTGCCCTGTGTCTCCCAGCTGGAAAGCTTGTTGAGCAATAAGCACAAATGTTTGTTGAACATAAATCATTGCACATGACTAGTTCACCATCCACAAAAAGCATTGCTAGTCGTTTTCTACTTCTGTGGTTGTATGGTTACTGCAGTCTCCTGATGCAATAGAGCTAAATGCTAAGTGAAGGCAGCAGCTTGGTTCAGGCCTGGGTTTTTGGAATATGGGAGCTGTAAGCTGAGAAAACTGGTTGGGATTTTTAGCAAAGGAAGGTTGTCATCGCACTTTGGCCTGAAATGGAATACAACTGTCCATTGCGAAGGGACCCAATAGCAAAGATGTCAACGTTACTCAGAAATATTTTTGAGAGAATTGTCTTATAAGGACTTTACTGCATTGGATTTTTTTCATGTTTGTTTGTTTCATTTTTTTTCCCATAGGTGAAGAGGATGTAGAAAATATTCCAAGTGAATCCTACTGTGGCTTTTCTGTTGAAGGATTGTTTGGTGGGAGGTAAGCAAATAGGCCATTGCTGGTGATGATTAAACCACTCCAATCTTATGTTAAAAAGTATAATAAGAATCTTGTCCTCTAAACCAACAAGCAAGTGATACCCAAGCCAGGAAGCTCAAAATCCACAAAATAAACCTAATTCCAAAAGCTGGATTTGGTTATTAATTGACTGATTTCCTACCAATAAGAGCACACTTTCAGGCTGGTGGGCTTGATGAGAGGTACTTGAAAGCCCAAACTGAACAAGCATGTGAAATATTTAAGGCCACATTTTTATATTTATTAAAAACAGCCTAAATAATTAAACTAGTTGATTCACTAGTGGCTTTCAGGCTCATGCCCAGAGTGAAAGGTCATGACCTGACATACCAGGGCCCCACTTGGTACCGATGATTGACAGGAAAAGGAAATAAGTTGATATCTTTCACATGGGAATCACAGCTTGTAGCAACTATGAGCAAGTGGGCTATTTGGACTTTGTGGGAAAACTTAATTGTGTTATTATTCAAAATCTTCGTTCCCAAAGTTGGTTCAATGGTGATTTATTTACTTATGTGATAAAACAGCTGTGTACTGTAATAAAATACAGGTCACTTGCTGATGTTTAATGCACAAAAGTGGGGATATGTTTGGTTTCTTTTACTTTGAACTTACGTTCATGCTAGGCAGCAGGGATGACTGAATTGTCAGGAATTTTCTGTTAGTGCATTGGAAATAATTAATGTTCTCATCATACTATATATATATTCTTAGGTATGGAGAATGAGGAAGGCACCATACACTGAAATATGAGCGCCTCTCCACCATAAGCTTTCATTATTTCTTTATAATGATAAAAAGGGGCTGCATTCAGTGCCAGACAATGTCATGGCCCAAGAGATTTCAGTGGCCTGCAGAAAAAAGGAGAAAAAAGCATTTATGATATGAATGAGGATTTGAAATGGCTTTTTAAAAAAGGCCTAAGATCCACTTTCACCCTAAATTCTGAAATCACTTGAAAGATGTCTAGATGCAAGCGAGTTTGAAGAATAGCAACTTTCCACCAGGCTCTGTTTTATATGCAGTATTACTGCCATATTGGCCATGCTTTGTTACAAGGTCACATAAAGGTACCAAGCAGTAGGGCACAGTCTCACTTCACGTATTGTCCGATTTGTTCTAGCAATGAATCCTGTCATCTTCCTCTGGAGTACATATTCTTTACCCCAGTCATTTACAAGTTAGTTAAGTGGTGCACTCTTTGTTTACCACTCTGAGTTCTCCAGGAGAATTTTAAGCCTTAATATAACCTGATTATGACACTGATAAGCAGCCTGGTTACACAGTAAATCAAGATAAAGGTTGCTTCATAGGGGGTAAGAGCTGGTGGTATTTCTCCTGCATTGTTTTGGTGTCATTCCTTCATATTTAACATCGGGCCACAGTGCATGGTATTTTACAAACAGTGTAGACTAGAGATCCTGCCACAGGAGTACAGGTCTGTGATGAGTAAATTATTGTTCCCAGCTGAGAAAGAGAAATGAAATGAAGCAAAATGGGTCCAGGGGCAATACGATACTCAGAACTGAAGCAATACCAGCCTGGAGCAATACCAGTCTTGAGTCCGCTCAACATTTCAGCAGAAGGGGGAGCTACTCAGGGTACCAACTTTTTTTCCATCAAAAAAGGTATGTACGTCCTGCACCTACTTGTCCTGAAGGGAAAAGGCCATAACTAACCCAAATCCAGCCATTTTCTAGAATTTATTCAATTCTAAAACTGAGATACTGCAAACTGGAGAGCGTAGCTATCACCAGAGCTGTCAGTGAAGTATCAGCTGCAGATACATGGAAACTTGTCTGCTGGGTTAGAGGCTGCAGTCTGACCTTGTGTAGCCCATAAAGGGTTTGAAAATTGTGACGGCTTTGGTTAATGACTGACTTTGGCTAGATTCAGCCTGAACATCAAGAGGCAAAAGGCTCTCTATCCTGTGCCAGTTCTCTGATCTTCCCATTGCGATCCACCTCCCCACCTCCAGGCTTTCTGTTTCAGCAGCTCCCTGAAGTGAGCACCATGACTGTGAATCGAGAAGGGAAGAAGCCCACAACTCTTCAGAAAAGAGCAGTTATTCTTAGCTTTGTTTTGCTGATGTTTTCTTTCCTTTTCTCCTTTTTTAAAGAAAACAGAAAGCCTGCCAAAACTTGGGCTCTTTGATGTGCTTTGGAAAGGAAAACAATGCTATCTATCCAAGCCCTCTGAAAAGAACAAAAATATGTCATTTTAAGGCATGAATTACTTGAGAGGAACAATCGATACATTTCACAATTAAGGATGGTCAAGAATTTTGGGGTGTTTTGCTGGAAATGTTTGATTAAGAAATTTCCAGAGACATTTTCCTGTTTCAGTGAACTTTATTAGAGAAAACTTCCGGAATTGTATGGTAGGTGAAAGGCAGGAGGGGGAAGAAAGAGGAAGAAACTGATATTTGCTGTAGAATATTCAATAATGTCCCTCGGAGATATCCTAGACCCCATTCAAGCTTTTCTTCTGTCCATTTGTATTGAGTATGTGGACCTGCCTCATCCATTTTATTCCTCCTACTTTGGGATGAGTATAAAAAGCATCCATAAAAGCAGTATCTGTTCTGGTTTGTTTGTTGATTCAGCTTTGAGTGGAAACATTGCTTTATAAAAGTCTTCAGCTGCAAATGAGACACTGACTTCATTGTCTCCTAGTTAGGAAATTTGTTTAAGATGGAAGTATCCCAGTAATCTTTGGCCTGTAAATGCAGGGAAGCTTTTTATGCTGCTATCTCAGAAGTTGTAACTGAACTTCTGTTTGCCCTTTCTTTTTAAGGTTTCTCCTCCATTATCCCACCAAGTCTTGAAAGAGCTGATTTATGCAGTGAGAGTTTTGGACATTTTTATCAAGTCCAGACATTCCTTCTACAATGTGATTAAGGAAGCACTTGTGTTATTTCTCTCTTTTTGTTGGAATTTTTACATATCTCCTTTTTTTTTGGCCATCCTATGACACTGCCTATTGCGTTGTTTGCACTCTCTGCTCTCCACTGCGGTGGCTGTATGGGAAATGCTTGTGCTTGTACAACTCAGCTTTAAAGAGGTTTCGGTTTATATCTAGCATTTCCAGTCGTGTTTTCAAAGAAAAATGAGCAGAAATTAGATATAGTCTGCAAATGACAAGGTTCATTGTTTGAAGTTGATATGAAGATGTTTGTTCTCTCATTGTCTGTGCTGCACTTACCCATGGATTAAGATGGTTTACTTGGAAAGATCACTCCCTACCTCAAGTTCAGACTACTTATTAAGGTTAGACAGGTGAAGAAGCCTGACTTCCTGAAGAAGGGTGTTGGGTATTTCTTGGAGGTTTCTTACTTTGAGCATCTAAAAATTTGAGACTTCTCTAATCACCCTGTGAAAGTCCAGGCCGGGATTTCAGACTTTGAGGATACCAAGCAAATGCCTTAAATTAGAGGTTTCAATTAGAGAATATTAAATTCTCTTCTGTAACAGGAGATGGTTTAGGAGAAATGGGAATAGCCAGGTGGGAGTAATTGCTTTTGGAAGAGTTGTATGTGGGAGCTCTGCCCAGTACTTTCTGTTGTTATGGCTGTTTTCCTTCCACAGCTCAGGAAAACTCATATTCATGCACACTCTTACCCTTCCCTGGGATTCCCCAACTTGGAGACTGTCAGCATCGGCTTATTATACAAGCCCTTTGTTTTATCCTGTACAGTACATCCCCCTATACACAATTTGGCCTCTTAACCTGCCATGAAATCTTTCAAGGGCTTGTTGCTGGAAGACATTGTCTCTCTTTGCTATGATTTGTGCAGCCGTGGCTGCATTTTCATGATGGCTTATAATGATTCGTGGTGGGTTGCAATACAATGAACTCATGGCGCAGAACAGCACACTGAAAAAGATCTTTCAAATTATTGTTCCGGTGCAAAAGGTGCCCAATCACCTTCCACCTGTGGATTAGCTGGTTGCTATAGGAACACACTGTAGCTTTTCAGTGCTGCGCTACTGTAGTGCCCAGATTACTGACTCTGACAAACACAATAGGGGAAAAGAATCACGGGTTATTAGTGCTGCTGATGATGTGATGTTATAAACCTGGGGTGGCACAGAGCGGATGAATAGAGCAACAGCCTTGAAATGCGAAGGACAGGAGGAGGAGAGGGAGCAGAGTGAAGTGTTGCTAATGTCATCACTACAGAAATGTTGTCTTTGATCTTATTTTCCATTCTGAATAGATATTTTCATATAATGCCAAATGCAAGCAACGCTGTAACTGATGGCAGAGCCACTGGTCATGTCTACGTTAGTAGGGGGCTACTCCTCCTCCTTTCTCTTTTCTTCCAGTGAGTACTGAAATCTGAACCTTTTCATTCCTGCAGGATTAACTCTGACCAAGGTCAGAGCAACGAGTCACCAATATTCTTCATGGGAGAGTCAGGCCTCCTGCATCCCTGGGAAATACCACCTGAAATACCCACCTACACACAGGAGTTTAACAGGGAATTTTGCAGCATGAGAATTGTGTGCTGAATAGCTGAGATCAGATCTCTGTCTACTTTGGTGGCCATAACCGAGACTCAGGGGTTTACGCCTCTGAGTGCCCTCCTGCAGAGCGAGCTACCTACGTGCTCCATAGGGGAGAAATAACTGCTCTCAGCTCTGATTTGTAGACGATCTGAAGTTCCCAGAAATAGCTTGGTTACCACTTGTGCTTGGTCAGGGTGAAGCAACGGAATAAAATATATCCTTGTCCATTGCTTGTGTGCCTTGAGCAAAACAAGCTGTGTTTAGTCACAAGTTCACCAGATGGTACTCTGGGGGTTATTGCTGTTATATTACATTACTGCAATCTATTAGATGAGGCGCAGTGATTCATTCTCTCTCCTCATTGCTTTAGGAGGCTCTGTTACCCTCCCAGTGGAAGCACAGCTGACCCTGCTGCTCATGACCCTTGAGACCCATGTTGGTGCATGTCCACCATGGGCAGGAAGGCCAGTCCAATAACAGCACCAGGCCTTACAGAAAGACATGGTTTGCATTCATCTCTGTAGCCAGAGAACCACATGCATAAGTGACTCCACTTTCTGATTAGCCACCTGATTTGTAACACAGTTTTTTGCAACCCTGTTTCCTTCCTTTTCTGTATTCATACCCAACTTGTGTTGCCTTCACACTGAGCCCTTGCACTAGGCCTTTGAACTAGTGTGACCCTCTAAGCTGAGAAATGGCATTGCTCAACTACTTGTTTGCAGTTGAAGTACAGATTTTGTGCTATACTTTTAGAGTCCAGAACTATCAAAATACCACTGAGAGGCATTGTTTTCCTCCACTTCTGCTACTCTGTAGGCTGAAACCTTGAGTCGAGTGAATTATGTGTTGACCGACACCTAACAACCCATACTGGATTGATGCCACATATGCATGCAGGGCATAGGTGCTGCTGTTGGTCAGCTGGACTGCCCCTGGGACCATCTGGCACCCTCTTTAGCCTCCCTGAATCCACCATTATGTTTACCGACCAGCTGCTTTTTCTCACTGCCAATGGCAAAGCTTCCCAAGCCACCATTTCCACTTGCTACTAAAGGAGACAAAGAAATACTACAGCCTTTTACCCTTTCCCAATAACCTTGAGCTTCTGGTGCCCTGAGGCCCTACCCCAGTTCACAGGTTGCCTTCTGCTCTGCAGCACTGTTGTCATGGTAGGATGCTAACATTAGCTTCCCTGGTGTCTTCTTGCTCTCCCTAGCCACAAGCACAGGATTATCTATTCCGCTTCCACAAATTAATGAATCCATAAGCAATACAAGAAGTGAGAGAACCTATTTTAGTTTTGCCTGAGGCATCTAAGAGAGTGATGAAGCAGGTTGGTCTGAACATGCTTGGATCAGAACTTCACCACAGGTGTTACTGTAATTTCAGGCAACTCGACAACTGCAAATTGGACCCTTTGTCCCTTAGATTATGCTTTTCATTTCATGTTCCTCTGAAGGAAAATGAATTTCCTGGGCTGAACTCCTGTCTGCAAATTCAGAGGGACAGGACACATTCTCCCTGTATAGTTTTAAATGGCTTTAAATGAGGACTTAAATGGAAATGGAGACGGACACCTAACCAGGGAAGTATGACAGTGTAGCTCCAATCAAATAATGGGAAAATCTTCCATTACCATAGTCATATGTATGTATGACCTTAGCAATGCCCAGGACTGCTATGGGAGCAGCAGTGCAGCACTCCCGTTATGCCTTATTTTTTTATCAACAATGTTCTCCTTCACTTTGACGTCAGCTTCAAGATTGCTTGCTGTGATGTGCTGCACCTTTCATATTTCCTTTCCAGTCATAATATTGCTTCAGTCGTAACCTCAGCACTTTGAGAAATAATTGTCCCTGACAAGGGGGTGAATCACTGGCAGAGAGTTGATAAGCATTACATACAGATGACAGAAGTCAGGACATATCGGATTACTGCTGTGAATATAATAAAAGAGAGCCTAAACACTTTGGCAGCTCAAAGACAAGCCATTTCATAACTCTCTAGTGGGGCTATTATCTTCCATTTACTGCCACTGATAACCAGGTTGCAACTGTCTCCCTAGGATCTAGTTACAATTCATGTAACACTTAGAGGACCAGACATATTGGAGGACACTCAAATGAGGATAATTTCTTAAAGATCATTTATTTTTAAATTTTTATCTTCCTTGCTCCCCTCTTTATAGTGCGATAAGAACCTAAATCGGGAAGCTTTGAACTTCCTTCGGGAAAGGAGAGTTCATGGTCATCTTCCCTTTAATCTTTTACTCCTGAGGTTCTTTTGAAGCCAGTCATTCATATCCAGCTGAATAAGTGACAAGCAGGTTTCCACCTCTCTTGCTCTTGTAATACATGCACCTAGACCTAAAAGCTTGTTCTAATACTGACTCCATTAGGTTTCCATGTAGGTGTTATGTTTTTATTTTTGTAGGCAGGAAGGGGCACCTGAGCTTACAAATCAGGGGGTGTTGGTGTGCAGCAGTAGCAGATAACTTACAGCAGTGCCCATTACAATCTACGTGGATGGAATCTGGATACAGGTGGTATTTATATACACTGCATGGGATTTTGTTGCCAAACTTCAGTGCCTAAGATTGGTTTAACACTTCAGGCTCTTTGATGTCAAAAAATCTCTCTTTTACGCTAAAGACAAAAAGAATTACTTTGCTATGGCAAAATCTGGCAAATGAGCAGTGAATCTCCTTACTATCCAGCACACCTTTGAGAAATACTTACTAAGCTTAGGGATGAAACTTTCTCTGTGTGAAGTGAAACTATATTCTGCAGAATTTTTCTCCTGAAGCGATACCATGAGCAGCAAATGTGAGCTCACCTCAGCTTTCAATATACAAGGTGTTTTTAGATGCAAGACAAAAGCTGTTTCACTCGCAGACTGACGATACATATATACAGCTGTAGATGGGAACCTTATTTTGTAAGTTTGGCCACATAAATCCATACACAGATTCGTGTTTGCCAGAGCCTCCTTCACAGCCACTGGGTGCAGAACGTCTTTGCAAAGATGGTTCAGAAGGGGAGGGCTTCTGAAAGCAAGTGCTGTTGGCAACTCAGAGGTTGCACATTCGTAAGTGTATTCCTAGACTCCATGTTATAATGTTCTCCTTACATTCTCATTGCTGGAAGTTCTGCAAAGAAGCCTCTCTACATGTGTTTGATCAGCCAGATTTGGTGAATTAGGAACTAAAACATCCTCCTCCCCCTACCACTTACATCTTTATCTCCTATCGCAAACTTTATGTCTTAGCTGCCCAAATTGAGGTCCTTACTGTTACATATAAATCATCACAAATCTATTTGGAGAAAAATTGAACCAGGCTTTCTTAAACTACAAATAGTAAATTTAAATTTGCCAACTCAGCACAGTTTGCATCCCTGCTTGATTTTTCACAGCACAAGTCCTCTGCTTCGGAGAGCCAATAAAGGACAACAACAATTAAGGGGGGAGGAAAAAAGTCATTGTTAAAACAGTAATTCCAAGTGGTTTCTCTTCAGGACTTCTGGATCTTACCACTAACCTTCTTACAGCCAGAGAAAGCCAACTGAATACCTTTGTGCCCTGCTTTATCCATCTGTAAAATAAGGGTGATCAATCTTACCTGCGCGACAGTTTTGTCACATGCTGCAACCAAGTAATATCTGTAAATTGCTTTAAGATGTTGAGATCAAGGGAATGATGGAAGTGCCAAGTGTTGTTGTTGTTTCTGTATTAACAATGTTGGCTGTTTTCACTGTTCATATGGTAGCCTGGCTGGAATTGGGCAGGAAGCCCAACAATACCAGCAACCAACAAGAAACTAAAATAAAATGTTTTACTTAATGAGCGCCTCTGTTTAATCAGAAGCCTGTGTAATTATGTCACAGAGGGCTAAGGATCTAATGTTTTCCTAATACGTTTGCTTTTAAAGGGACGATTAACCTGGCATATTTCAAGATGATAAGCTGCTTCTTTGTTCAGTTCCAGTTATGTTTTTCTGCATTCCCTGGTGGATCCAGAGAGAACCTGAGAGTCAGAGGCTTTTTCTTAATTGCACAGTAACTGTCTTGTGTGTCTGATGCTAGAGTATTTTCTAAAGACACAGGTTATTAGTCCTAGGTTGGATGAGTTTGCAAGAGAATTCAGGTGCTGAATTTATTCTGTTTTGGCTCCTCTGAGGCATGGCATATATTACAGAAAGCTCTCAGTATGTTTGCCTTAAACAGGCAATGCTCTTAGAAGGCACTTTGGCTAGGAAGAAGGGATAAAACTATACCTTCCCTTGAATCCAATAAATCCTGTTTTAAGTAAGAGATTGTTTTCAGTTTACTTCTAAGAGGTACATTTCAACACGCATTGTACAATATCTTTGTACATGTCTGTCCAGTTGGTACTTCTCAAATGTTTTGAAGAGAATAAAGAGGAAAAGAGCTCTTTACCTCCTGAAGACGGTTGTCTGAAGAGATACTAAACAGTATTCTATATTGAGATTTCAGGGAAGATATTTATGCTGAAAGGCACACAGGGAGTGATTTTATGTCATATATATATGAGATCCTCTGATCTAGCCTTCTGTGAAAAGGTTAGATAAACTACATTATGTTCACACCTTTTAGGTGTTTGATCATTTCTATTCTTGAAGATCTTGAGGGCAGAAGATCCCATGGGCCCTCCAGGGAACACACCCCAGCACTTTGCCAGTAAGGATGTTTTCTAGTATCTAAGCAGGCTCTTCTGTGTCATGTTTTGGTTTGCCATGATAAGGGTGTGTCGTGGTTTAAACCCAGTCAAGAATAAGAAGACACATTATCGCCTTCTACTTCCTCTGGCAGATAGCCCCACACATGAACATTATGTGCTTATGGTGAGATCATTTACTAGGTATTTGTTCAAACCCTTTCACAACATATTTCATCTTTGTGTTTAGGTGTGAGAATAGTGAGAATGAGATACTTTTTTTCATATAGCAGGGTAGTCCTAGATATTCCTTGATTGCTGTAAATTGCTTTTAAAGGGAAAAAAATGGAGCCATCAGCCATATGGGAATTTGTAGAAAGGAAAGAGTTAATAATATTATGATCAGGTCAGCAAGTTTGAAAGGCTCTTCCACTTTGAAAACCATTTTCTTAATTATTTTAAGTTAACACTTAAATGCATAGAAAAAAAATCACATGTAATCTGAAACCCCAGACATGGGGACAGGACTGGATTGAGATAACATTAAAGATTTTATTGCTGTTACATTATAAATTATTTCTATTATGATGGCCCAGTGGGTATTACATTCTGTCAGTTCGCTTTCGCTGTTACATCACTTAATGTTATTAACACACTTTAGAGTATAACATTACAGTTTTATTGTGGAAACCTTAAACACTTACATCCAAAGTACTGAATCAAGTTATTATCTTAGCTGACCAGATCTGGTCTATTATCGTTTTATCACTCATAAAAACCTGTGATTCAATTTGATTTAACACTTGATGAAAAAATCATGGCTTATATATGCTTAAACCTAGTTGCAATATTAATACAAAGCAACACATGGATGACTTCATTTTATTAAAGTTGAGGTAGCCCTGGGAACTGCATTTATGATCTTTACGCCACATGAGAAATTTGATCTGACCTGTTGGCATTTCTGAACTAGTAAACTGATTTCTCACCAGTATATTAAAGAATTGTGAATATTTTTTATCTTTCTTACTGCAGTCATTATCCACTCGGAGACCATACGTTGACCAGAGTGTGCTAACCAAGGAAAAAGGTATCTCTCCCTGTCTCAGAGTCCTTTTAGACTGGAAAAATGTTGTACTTTGAAAGGCAACTCACAGTGCTCCACTGAGTTTAACATAAGAAAGAAATTAAGCCTTTGTTTCTCTGTAGTCCGTATAGGCCAGCAAAGATCTTTAACACTTGCACAATATTTAGAGGCAGGAGAGGTTCCACTGAAGTCTCTGGTCAGCATTGTGCAGACAGTTGATTATCAGCTTTGGTTATCTAGCTGAGCCAAAATAAGAATACATTGGTTGGCACTGCCTGAAGTATTTCAAATCTTACTTAGGTTATGTGTTGTTTGCTTTGAGGAGAAGGTGGAAAACTGCATGTGAAATTTAAAGTGTATTTCAGAAATGAAAAATCAGGATGGTTTACATGTTAAAAATATCAAAATGGGACATTTCGTCTTTTTCACTTCAGGGGGAGGAAGAAGACAAAACTATGCTGGTGTGCAAAAGCGGTGCTGAATAACCCTAGAAAGGAGGTCTACTCCTGCATCCCATTTCCCACTGAAGTCGGAGGAGGAGTTTGCTCAGCCCAACATCCAGGAGTTCACCAACACAATGGCTTTCCAAGCAGTTGGGTGGACACACGGAACCAACCAGTCCCATTCTGGCATGCGCATGAAATCTCCCTAGCAACAAAGATGACAGCTTGGTAACAGCAGCTGCTGCTTAATGGAAAACATTAGAAAAATAACTCATTCTGGATCTATGTTCCCTCTTTGCATTTTCATATTTATCACAAGAAAAGTGTTCTAAGAAAAAAACACCCCACACCATCCAGAACTTTAAAAAGCTTTAAGGCGCAAGGGTCAGACACACAGCTGTGCATGTAAAGAGATGAGCTTCAAAAGTGTGATTTTGTTATCGTGGCACATACATTTTTCTTTTTAGCCACACCTATATTGTTTGTGACTTAACAAGTGGGCCTGTGTACATGTTGTGGGAGTGCCATGGATGTGCTATTATTTATTCTTGCATCAAACATGAGAGACGGCCAAATATGTGTTAAATTCCAAGTCAGCATTTTTGGTTACTGTTGCTTGAAGTACATCCATTTCTTCAAGTATATCAGAGCTTGGTTCAACAGAAAGGATTTAGTATCCATACAAAAGCAAATCCGTGTGTCTGGTAAAATCTTCCCCTTTTTATTTCTTTAATAAAAGCAAACACCAAATTATTTTTTCTTCTGTTGTAAGTGTTCTGAAAAAGTCCAGTGAAGACATAAAGACAAGTATATAGCAGCTCCCTGAAATGAAAAACAAATCAGAGTAGAGCTACATCACCATGTGAAATAGACAAATTAGGTGGAGATACATTAACTACTGTCATTCATCAGCCTGAAGTGATACAATTTACTACATGGTAATAATGGCCATAGTTGTATAAGTAGTAAAGGTAAAATTACATCATGACTTGCATTAGCAGTATGAGATTATATCCTGATTAATGCACAATGAACTTGTCATGTGTACAGCGCATGTGTTTGTGTGTGCACAGCTGGGTTATGCTATGTCTCATGCTCACATATGTAGCATTTATCACTTTCTTCTCTATCTCCAGAAATTAAATGGCTTCATCTACTAAAATCCATAAACACCCTGCCAGCTTAATGCAGAGCCATCTAAAGTACAACTAAGAGACCCTTGGAAATGACCACTGGAGAATCTTGAACACCTGCATGAATCCTCTCCACAGACTGGGAGCTGCATCCACAGCTCCAAGGAGACATCTCCAGGGTGAGAGCAACAACCTTACCTGCTCTTCGGCTGGCAGGCACCAGGTACCTGAACTGTTCTCAGAGATGTATATCAGAGCTCCTACTCCCAAGAGAAAGCCCCCAACACACAAAATGACCACGGGTGAGGAATTCCTTTGCTCCTTTTTTAGTCTGATTTTGCAGGGGAAAATAAGCTAAAGGGGCAGCTGAGAAGGGTTTTTACTTTTAGTTGCAATTATGGATGGAGGTGCCTCAACTTCACACAAACTCCTCTGTAAACAGAGAACTATGTTATGTGTCCATGTGCTGACATTCAGATGTGCCTATTGGTATGCTCCCTCCCTCTGTTTTTTTTCAGTTGTGAATGTGTGTGGCTACACATCTGGGTGTATGCAAACACGTACAAAATAGCAAGGTAGTAAACACTGTTGAGGGGAAACAAAAGACCTCCAAGTTTTAATCTCTGTTCTATCACAAACTCAGTGTTTGTCCTTGAGAAGCTCATTTTAATTTCTCTTACCAGGTTTCTCAGCCTGAAGTGAGGGGGAGGGATAATAACGTTGTTATGCTAGCCTACCTCACGCTGTATGTGATACTCAGTTAGCTGTTTGAAGTTGCAAATTGCTGAGTGATGATGGAACATAACTTTTCAAAATAAATGGCATCAGATTTTATTTTTTTCCACACTTTTTAGTACTAAAATCTACTAGAAAGGGTTGGCTGACTTTGATCCTTCCTGTGCTTTATTTTCACATTTGATGCTTCTCCCCAGTTCCAACACCAAATGATGGTCATTTTCCAGCACTTCCAATTGAGAAGAAAAAGCTCATATAGCAAGGAAAAAAATCTAATCATTTTGTTGTCCTGAAATTTCTTTTGCAGCTGCCAGTATTGAGTATTTGCTGGTTTGGGTATAAGGCACCCAGCATTTGGGAGCATGCAGATTTTGAGTCCCAATTTTGCACATCTTGAGTGTTCAAAAGATGAAGAGAATCATATTATGTTTGAATTTAACTGTTAGAATATTTTTAAGTTCTTCAGAATTACTTTTGCTGAATAGAACTTAGCAGAGTAGAAATACTGTTTAAAACCTGGATGGCTACAAAATATCCTTTATATTATATTTCTTCTGTCTAGAGTAGACATTTGACTCTGTCCCAGACAAGTAGTCCATTTTTGTCATTAGGGATTGACTTTATTATGCTGTAGTCTCCATTTTCAGTATATCATGAGAGATACCATCAGGTGATGATGCTACAGAAAGCTGGCCAAGGCTTCATTTACACAGGTAAAAATGACAAGTGACGTGACCATTTATGTGAATTTTAATTCCTGATACAACAAAACTCAAATATTTTTTTACATTGGCATTAAGCCTGTATTTGAGTGCACATTAGGCCTTAGACAAGCATAGGAGAGACAAGAATCCAGTCTGCTCCCTTTGAGATGTCACCAAAAATGCATTATCAAAAATAAAATCAATCTCTCCCCTTCTTCAGGAGTGGTTTGTGTGTCTCTTGAAGTACTTCAAGATGACAGAAGAGAGACGCTTCCAATTGCACCAGCTGAAATAACTGACTTAGTCTTCACTTGTAAGAGTGAATTTAAGATTCAATGATATCAACGCTTACATTGTCCAAGGAAAAAGGTAGGAGAAAAACAGATCATTTCCTTCATTGCTAATCTCACTATTAATAAGAATTGTCAAGTCTGAAAATCTAAGTAATGGAGACTTGGGGCATGTTGAGAATTCAGGCAAAATACGTTGGGTTGAAGTAGTTAATACAAGTCTGAAACATTTCAGTGTTAAACCATTAAAAGTAAATTAAAAATACTGTAATTACATTTTAGACAGATGCCCACTTCAAGAAATGGAAAAAAATGCTTAAATTAACACCCACCCCCCCACCCCCCCAGTCATGCCATTCTCAAGATAATGTTTTGAGTGGGAAAAGAAGAAAAAGAAACAAACAGTCAAATGGATTTCACATTGCCAAATGGGTATTCTTTCTGACAAAAAAGTTCTGTGCAGAACTTGGTCCAAGCAGACAATTAATTTTTGCTGCTGTTCAGAAGACATCACAGCTCACAGAAAACCGGCACAATCACTGGCTCACACCTGTGTTAATTCCCCAAGTACCCTCCCAAGGGCTGGAGCCTTCCCAAGACAGACACAGGTAACTTCTCAGCCACAAATAGCTGCTTGCCCTCTGCGCTGTTCGCGACCAAATAAATTAGAGGAAGCCACACTGTGCGGTTAGCACCGGCTCTGCTGTCTGGGAGGGCTAGACATTAATGCTTAATTTTGCTTTTTGAAATTCCCTCTCAGCCCCAATTATTGACGTCTAGGCAGGAAGCCTGTGAGAGCTTAAGGGATCTGACATCCATGACTAAGACAGTTAATACGCTTTGTCAAACAGCGACTAACACGAGCCAGGTAGCAGCTCGCCTGCTAGCATTACAGAGCAGAAATCGGAGGGGTTTGGGGTGCATCCTTCAAGCTTCAGGAGCTGCTTTGCAATGTTTTTGAGCAGAGAGCATTCGAGGCAAGTGCAAAAGATTATTTCCCCCCCCCCCCTTCCTCCTCCTCCAGTCCCCATCAGTCCCCAGCCCAGCCTGTAATTTGGCAAGATGAATGAAGTGTTTTCGGAGTGTCATCACTTCTGCCTCTGGCAGATTTGCTTCCCCAGTCTGCCTTTCGCCTTTTGGACCTGTCACTCAGCCCTTTGGCAGAGGGGAGGAGGGGGAGGGAGGAGGAAATCATCTCTTTGCTAATCACCTATCACAAGCAATGAAATCCCGCAGGCTCCGTGCCAGCTAGGTACATTTCAAAGGGAAACGGAGGGGGGCAAAGTGTCACTCAAGGCAGATATTTATGAAAGATGACAGTTTGCAAATATCTCAATCTTGGACAAGGCTGCTCCAGTGACACAGAGGAGTGTTGCAAAATTGGAAGAGTCAGCAGCCAACATTTATTTCATCAGGACCTGTCCAATCTTCAGTGATCGCTTGACAGTCTGGGGATTGCTGGCACAAGCCGGCCTCTTTTCTATTGGTTGCTTTCATTTAGTTTGCATGGATCAGTCTAAAGAGTTGTAATAAATATGTAAAGAAGGATAAAGGGAGTAGTTTTGCAGACCTGCATCCTCAGTGGCAGAACCGGCACAAACCCCCTTTTTAGCTATGCCAAATAGCAACAGCAGTAATTACATCTCTATTGATCGTGCGAACAATGAGATACAGGCTGTGTCTCACTCATGGAGACCCCCCATGACATCCAGGCTCCCCCCATTGCCACCAGCAGCTGCCACAGCAGTACTGGCTTCTCTGAGGAACTTTTCTTCTGCCACCCCCAGCTATCAACATCGTACGGAGGAGCGGCATTGAATGTCTGCTGCACCTGCAGGAGCCAGGTGAACGTTTCACGCTCATTCAGGGAGCCCGGGGTGAGCTGAGGTACGTGCCCAGCCCCTCATCCACGTTCCACACTGAGGTAACTCCACCATGGCAGGCAGCTCAGCCAATCGGGGCGTGCAGCGCCATTATGTGACCAATGCAAGGGTTTATGTCCCGCCCTGCTGCACTCAGCCACCTCGTGGAGGCGCCATGTTGAGCCGTGGAGGTTGACTTGGGTGGAGGGATTTCGCACAGAGCGTGTCTCAGGTATGATGGTGGTGTGTGTCCAGCACCAGGGAATACAGTCACTGCAGGGAGCGGGGTGGACGGGGAGGAGGGAACTGGGGAATTCCAGGCTTCGGCAGGTGGGAGGAGCTGTGTTCACACATAGGGCAATGGGGTGTGAAGCGGGCAGTGGGCTGAGGGCTGCCGAGCTGTGCTGCTGCAGGTTGTGAGAGCCCCCTCAGGCAGCAGAAAGGCACATGCCAGTGCTGAAGTGTTGTTGCCATCAGCCATGCAGCAGGAAATAACAGATAACTCATGCTCCTAAGGGGGCTGGTTCCAGCACTGGTTCTCTGCCTTGTTCTGTAGGGACTGTACCTTAAAGCTTTGAGGACCTGGATTGCTGATCATAGAGTACATGTTTCTGCCTCTCAATTGCCCCTGTTGTTTCACTTGCACATGTTACAAGCTAATTGAGAGGACAGTAGCACAAAAATGCTGTGTCCTACAGGAACAATAGCCTAACAGATCGAATTACTCTGCTGTGGGCTGAGAAGCAGCAAACAGTTTCTGAAGTGCTGTGTTAGAAAGGTCGAAAGTAAATGCACTTATTGACAGCAGCAGAGGAACAAATGCAGGGAGTTGGCATAAAACCTGGAATTTCCGAGTGAAGATGTTTCCTTTCTTAGAATTAACAATGAATTGTAGGTAATAGGTGGAATAATCCTGTCTCAGTATTCACTATTTTCATGGTCAAATGCAGGGTCTAGAAGGAGAGGCTAATTCAGCCACTTGCTGTGTGGTGGTTGCTTGCATCTCATCCACTGAGGGTATGTGTGTGTGTGACTCATGAGAAGTAACATGGATGGAGGTGGATTATGTTAGCAGAATGCAAAACTGCCCTTCTGTTTTAGGGTTTTAGCAATTGAAATGGATCGTGAATTCAATTAAAGGCCTTGTTCTTCCTTTCTTTATGCCTTGCATATCTTAGAGTTTTGCTTAACTTAAAGTAAACTGTGGCTTAAACCAGCACCCTTAGTTCAGTCATCAAAAAGTATTTTCTCAGATCTCTTGAGGTTCAGTCAAGACGCACATGGTGACAAGTGGGAAGATGTTAGAGATCCAGAGGAAAGAAGCTACCATTGCTTTTAGTCTAGTATATTTCTAGTATATTTCAAGACAACAGGTAACTCATAGATGTCAGTAGGACTGTGTTACTCTCCAAAAGTAATAGTGAAAGGAAATGAAATGTACCAACAAGCTCTGCCTATTCAGAGTTCAACAGTGTAGAGTGGGAGTATTCCCCAGAGGTTCCTGGAAGTGCAGCTTGCTTTTCTTAAACACTCAGTTCATTTGTATTTACAGATATACTGAGGCCAATATACTTGTGATGTAGACCCTAAGGTTAATTTCATGCTAGCCAGAGTGGTAAAGCTGTGATGGTCTTCACTGTGTACTGCACTAGGCTGTTCAAAACTGGCATGGAGAATCCTCCTACGCAAGTTTCTCTTTTGGCCTACTCTGGCAGCCCACAGAGAAGCTGATCAGCTGAGTGGGTGAGGGAGAGGTTAGCATGCTCACTTCACTCTATTATAAATATCTTTGCCAAAACAAATTATTCTTATACAAGGATTCATGGGTAAATCTTCCATCACTGGGGAGGAAAAAAAATGAAGGGCTATAAAAGTCTAGTTAATCACTGCACACACTGCAAGGAGCAGAAGGCCATTTCAGAGTAATTGGAGTTATCTTCATTATTCTTATTTTCAATTACATTTCAAAATCAAATAACAAGTTGCCTTTTAGACAGCTTCATGATCTAAATCCCAGTTCTGTAATTTTTACTTAGTGCTGACTTAGACAAAAGTTCTCCGTGATTGTAGTGGCCTTTTAGCTTCTTGAAGAAACTTCATGGAAAAAAAGATACTTAGAAAGTTTTGGTCTTTAAAAAAGCAGAATCCCAAGCTGTCCACCCAAATGCCCACGTAGTTCTTGCAAGTCACCTGTCCTGTTATTTAAATCTATATACAAATAACCGCTTTTCAGGTGCCATCTTGACACCAATTAAACACACAGCTGTGCATCTGTTCATGTGTAGGGCTAGATTACTGATGTGTTGTAACTCAGGCATTGCTGTTACTGCAGAGTAAGCAGAATGATTCTTAATAATTATTAAACAGTTGATGAAAAAAAATTAATGGCTGCATCTAAACTATCGAAAGCAGGTGTGCAGTCTGTTTCTTTACTGGCCTTCATGGAGGTAGTTGGCTGTGCTATGAGTTAAAAGTTAGTGGGCTGATACTTGCTTATGCTGAAGTGTGCAGGGAAAGTGTCCTCAAAAGTTTTTGGTTCTGGGGTGCAATGTAAGAATTGTTATCAGAGCAGGTCTCTGATAGTTACAGCGACATCTCTTGTAGGTTTCTAGTTACTTTTCTGGAGTATTCCTGTACATACAAATCCGCACATACATGTGCATTTATGTGCATATATCCTTATGTCAACACTAACCATCTTGGCAAGATAGACACTGGCTAGCAGGAAGGTGCTTCTCTTTCTCAGATCAACACAGTTCTGTCTCTCTTCATAAGGCATAAAAGTGATAGAGTCTATAGAAAGTTATATGCCTGCATGACAGGAAGGAAGGGTACTTAAAAAAAAAACAAAACACCAAACTACTCCAGAGAGAAACAACCCAAACCAGAGAATCGCAACCAAAACTCTCAATGTTATTCAGTGGATTTCATCCCACAGGACAGGTGTTTCCATACAGGTCAGGGGAAAAATTACCACCTTCTTTTCTTGAATATCACTTTTCATATGGTAAATCCCTCAGAGTCTTTATTGTGGAATGAATAATAGATTAATCATTCCTCTGTGTGCAATGCCGGGGCTCTCTAATGTCACTGATTATTCTATATTGAATAAATAGTGTTGCTAGGTTGATATGTTTAAGGCAAATGAGATGCTTATTGGTATCCAAGAAGCCAGTTAACAAGATCCATTTTCCGCCATTGACTTCTACTCATGTAT